TTTAATATAAGTTATGTTAAACTTATATTAAAGTTTTTCTTCATTACCCATTTAAGCCGTCTCCAGCCACTATTAGCTAAATGGTTAGCATGTTATCTCTTCCCACTATTGGAATACTGATTTAAGTAAAGAAAAAATATATATACATTAAGTCGTGATGTTGATACTTTACTAACTAACACGCCAGTTCATGAGACCAGAGAGTTTCTCAATTTAAAAAAAGTTACGCAAACTGAATATATCTTTGTATATTCCCATTGATACTTTTATCTCTCATGTAAACAACAATGTATTAAACTGTCTTGTTCAATATATATATATTAAACAAAAATACGTAAAGACCATGCGAAGTCCATTTTCTCAAATACTGTGAATATTTCCTGGAATATTTTGAAACTGGACTTCTTTTTATGAGCTTAAATGTTTCAAAAATACCGTGGTTCATATATGTTGAATATATACTTTTTCTGTGTAGCCAAACCCAAAAAGTGATTTTGAAAACGTTTCAAACAACTTTAATCACTTTCGCCCTGCTATCATATTTAAAGTTGAAAGAGAAAAAGATAACCGGAAAAAAAACACATAGAACTCATCCTCTCTGTGTACCGAAAACCAACAAATTCTTTAAATAATGTTCACTTCTTTTCATGCCACCATAAACTGGATAAAACATCTGTTATTTATTCATTTTTTCTTAGAGCCTGTAGAATATGTCACCCAAAAATGGCAGCACTTTAGCACAAAGTCAAAAATATCTGCTATTTTCAAAGAACTCCATTTTTCCAAAAATCTTCAATACAAATTGCCATCTTAAAGCAATATTTGTTTTTTCCATGACAATGAAAAAATACCAACCAACGATATTATGAAACCACCTTATATTAACCATAACAGAAAAATTGAGCCCTAGAGCAAACGTTAACGAATAATAAATTTAGAATCACATTAAAATATCCAGAAATAATAGGAACAAACTTTACCTATTGAAGAATCGTTTCTCGTTCATATTCTCAAGTTGAATTAGTAATGATAAAGAATGCGTGAACAATATGAACTTACAGTTGAATTTGTAATGATAAAGAGTGCGTGAACAATAGGAGCTTACAGTTGAATTAGTTATGCTGTTAGGTTTAGAGGAATCTATAATAAAACATGTTCAGCGCATGTCGTGGCTCGAATCTTGGATCTTCAACTCCGCAGCTTGATATGTTTCAAATATAAGAATACCTGAAGATAAAATACAAAGCAATTTTATGAGAACGGTTATGTGAAACTGGAAGAAGTGTTGACAGGAGAGTTTTTAACACACACACACACAAAATATGGAAATACAAATCACGCAATTTTTCTTCATACAAGAGATGCTGGTCATTAAATCGAGTTGAAATCAAGAAGAATTTTATACATAACAGAAAACTACATAAAAAAGAAGAATTGTTGAAAGTTGTTTAATGAAAAGCCGGACTCGGCATGTCCAGGTGGTTAAGGAGTTCGACTCGCAATCTGTGGATCGCAGGTTCGAATCCCCGTCCCATCAAACATGTTCACCCTTTCAATCGTAGGGGCGTTATAATGTGACGGACAATCCCATATTCGTTCGTAAAAGAGTAGCCCAAGAGTTGGCGGTGGGTGGTGATGACTAGCTGTCTTCCCTATAGTCTTACACTGCTAAATTAGGGACGGCTAGCGCAGATAGCCCTCGTGTAGCTTTGCGCGAAATTCAAAATAAACAAACAAACAAATAATGAAAAGCCTGCCTAATTTCAACACTTCCTAAAGTCACTTCAAGCTAAACTGTTTCCTGAACCCAGGAATTCAAAGTTCTGGAGTCACAAAGACGTTATTGACCAGTTTTAGAAAATATAAGACTAAAGAGAACGCACGAATGTGTCAAACTGATTTTTTCTAATTTCAAAATTGTGGTAGTTATTAAAGTTTTTTATAACTGCTACACTGGATATAGAGTTCTTTTACTCTCATGTGGTTGTGTTGAAACATGGCATGTTGTTATTCTGTGAATGAATTATTTTCACTGTGATGGAGTATGAAATATATTGTGCTACTTTCTAATATAAATATTTGTGGCTTAATTTCTTTGTAATACCAGTTAGTCTTTATCGTAGTGTTCTGATTGACTAAAATATGTCCCCTGGTAGGACAGCGGAAAGTTCACGGACTTACAACACCAAAATCGTGGTTCGATTACCTGTGGAGGAAACAGCGAATGGCCCAATGTGGCTTTGCTCTAAAACAAACAAATGAACAACACTAAAAAGCAACTTAGGGACCATGTAAGTCAGAAAATATAGGGTCTTCAGGAAAGTCATAAAATCAAGATATTAGTTGTATGGGACCTCCAGTGGTTGAACGGTAAGCTCGAAGGCTTATGACGCTAAACTTGGAGTTCAATCTCTGCTGTGTGAAGCTTTGTGTTTATGAACAAACAAACAAAAACAAAATATTACTAGTGTATTAGCAGAATCTTATAGAATCAAATATTCATTGGGTCAATCAAGTCTTAATAAATCAAACTTTAATTTTAAAGATAATTAGGTAATGGCTTTAACATTCAGATATATTGTCAGGTTGAAGACTTAGAAAGAAATCAGGTTATTCTCATGTGAACTTTAACTTAATTACAAATTTGAGTGGAACTAGATGGATTGTTTTCTTGCATTCAGGGGTCTGGTGGTTAAGACACTCGACTCATAATCTGACGGTTGCGTGTCTACCAAAAGTTCACTATAGCAAATTTTACAAAAGGATTACAATCAAACAAAAAGCAAAGTCTACAAAAAAAGGTACTCTTACAGGAGCAAACATGACTTTAGGTACACAACTCAATAATGTTAACAATGCTAAGTTTGCATACGTGATCTTCGTCCACTGCGATCCGAGAGCAAGAGCGTGGCAGCCCCTGGCCATTATATGCTTCGCCGACAGAAAAGACAATCACATATCTTAAAACACCATGAGTTACATTTCCTGTAAGAAAATGCTGCTAATTGTCATATAGTAGAGAAAGTAAAGTTGAATATTTACTTGACCAACCCTCTGTGACCAAAAGAAAATATAGAAATTGGCAAAATTTTAAATGTCAACTAATGAATTAACTTACGCAACGAAAAATTACATGTCATAATTGTTATGATGATATCAGGACTGAAATAATAATATACAAATAACCATTTTATAATGCTCGTGTATGACAATAAAAATAAGCAGTGTGAAAAATAACTTTATTGAAAAATTAAAGTAAATACTGTAAAATTCTCTAGGAAGAAATTTGGTTAGGATTGTTTATTTGTATTTAGCGTGTGTGTGTTTCAGAGCTTATTTCTTGTTCAAACAATGTCTTTTTTTGTTCTCGTTATAATGTTAAGGGAAGATTTGGGTAATTCTTATAAACCTACACTAGTACTTTGAATTTTTCGTTTAAATATTTTTTTTAATTATTAGTTATTTATTTTAACACTTGAATTTATCACATTTAATCGCGTAGCGGCGCTGGCAGTAGATGAACACGTTTTTAGGTGTACTGAATAGATGATTAGTCATGGGTCCAGTTCCAGCTGTTAAAGTTAACGAAGATTCCGAAACTTTATCGAAATCAGCGGAGGGAAAAAATGTTCAATCCTCTAGTTACAATTATTCACAGGGTGAAACAGGAAATGGAATTAATGCGATTTTGTTGGGGCCACCGGGCGCAGGAAAAGGCACTCAAGTAAGTGTGCTTAGTGTCGTTATGATTATTCCGATATTCGTATTAACTTCTGTCCTGATCAGAACAAACTATCTATTTAACTTTTAAGAGCTAAATAAAAACAAAACAAAAAAAACAATAATAAGTATAGTTAATTAAATATACATTCCTTACGTTCTTACTTATCAAGACTAACATACAAATTACAATACTGATGGTGCCCTCCACACGATTCATAGCTGGCCCAATCATAACGTTCCGATAAAGCTCATACTGATTACTTCTAGTTCTAAGTTCTATATCTACTCCAAGTACACTGACTGAATTAAGCTCAAGGTCTGATAGGGCTGCAGTGACTTTAAAATGTTTGAAAAATATACAATTCCATCAATGAGCCCCTAAAAATACATCATGCCTGTGTGACATTCTGGGTACATTTTAGCCTCATGTATGATGTAGTAGGAAGGATATACGATATATCATAGGATATAGTTCATAACACCTAGAGTCTGCCTGCCAAGTTTGGTCTTGTTAATGTTAGAACAGAAAAAAAAAAAATTTACACAACATAAATTCATATAGGATTAGAATGCCTTGTTTCATCAGCTTGTTAGTGTTACTGTTAATAACATTTTCAGCAGTGATCCCAATGATATATTACAAGGTTTGGCCAGCTTAAGAAATTTAGGTTGGTAATTTTCTTAAGATAACAATCCAAAATAATCTTTATAATAAAAGTATAATTATTAAAAGTAACATATCTAGTTTTATTGCATTAATACTAATAGTATTAACAAAAGTATATTTAAAGAAAGAATAGAGCACAGAACACACAATCAATGGTTTTTAGCCTTAAAAACTGTCAAAGATTTAATGTTATTTGAACAGTGTAATATCACAATTAACCATATCCTTGATATGACTGTGTATAAGCACATTTTTCCACTTTTCTCCCTAAAATCAGCTTGTGACAAATGAAAACCCTTTAAAAGGCTCATACATTGTAATTTAAGAGGAAGCTGACATCTGAGATAAATATATTTTTAGAAAGCGCCTTCTTTTTTTTACTGTAAGTGTAAAGTCAAGTAGCAAAACAGTACCAATAGTAAAGCCCAAACTAATGTTTATGAAAATACAAAATAATAAGTAAGAAAGTAAATAATTCATACAATAAATAGTTGGAATATTAGCACTCTAATTAAATCATCCCTGTGTTAAATGTAATAAAAAGCAAAACAAAATGTTAAACATACTATGAGGTGTGTATAACTCAACTAATCTGTGTTTAACCAATAGCTGTTACTTAAATGGAGCAGGCAACAAGAAGTAATAAATATAGTAAAATATTCAATAATAACCAATAAGTAAACACAATAAGATTCAAGAAAGTTCAATAATAAGACTTAGAAAAGGAAGTTAAAACATGCTTTACTTTTCATGTAATTAAGTTAAATTCAGACTCATAATGTAACATTTCCTACACTGTCTGATTCTTTGTTTACTGTGCCTCTTAGAGATAAAACCAAAAATAAGCCTGTATGTTTATCATGTTTTGTGTACACTTATGCAAATACTGCAACTTGTAGGAACGAACATACATATAAAATGAAGAAAATACAAATAAAATGCTAAATTTCTTTCCAGGCTCCAATGCTGAAAGAGAAATACTCTGTATGCCACCTTTCAACAGGTAGTTTTGTTATTTAATTTACAAGTTGTATTTTATGTCCAACAATTTAATTTTACCATATTTTTTTCTATTATTCTAGCTAATTGTAAAGATATGTATGTTCTATTTGTTTTAGTTAATCTCTCTACTTACTCTTGTTTTTTAATGTTTGAATATGCATGACCTATGTAATTTATTTCATGTAACAATATTACAAATTAGTCACTTATCAAATGTCTGCTATAAGGATAACCTTTATCAGTTTCAGCCATATGTATTTTCAACAGCTGAGCTGATATATTGCCTTACTATTTTATCTGCTCAAATCTTCTTTGCAATTGTGCATAATAATCTCAATTTGCTTGTGTTTTGTGATTTCTTTGTGCTGTGACTTTTTTTTTTTTTAAATACAAGTCTTCACTTTTTACATAGCATTGGACATTGATTCAGGTGAGCCTTTTTTTGTTGTTTAAGACTTTCAGATAATTAGGGCAACTGCTTTCTTGTCTCTTCTTTTGGTTAGATGTTTTCATGTTGTAACACCATTTGGAAACCTTATCTGACTATACACTTTGGTTTCACAATTTTAATTTGCTATAACCAACTATTTTCTTTATTCGATTTTCTTTCTAAAATAAAGATGTTATTTTTATGATTGATACTTGAAACCGTTGGTACTTGGTGAAACTTCATAATTACAGAATTGAGGAAAAACAAGACAATTTTACGTTTCACAAATACATCATTTATTCACGAACATGGTTTCACCGATGATGTCTTTACTGGCAAAACTATGGTCATGAATAAATGATATATTTGTGAAACATACAGATGTCTTGTTTTCCTCAATTCTGTAATGTTAATATTAAATTTTAACATCTTTTAGTATTAAACATTCCTCTTTACCTCTGTGTTTGATAATGACAAATAGGTTTTAATATTAGAACTGGAAATGCTAAAGACTTACAGAACATGTAGAGGTTTCAGTAGTGGTTATAATTTGCTATTTTGCTTATCCTGCAGGAGACATGCTGCGAGCAGAAGTAGCCTCGGGCTCAGAGCTAGGTCATACACTTAAGAAAACAATGGATCAAGGCAAGCTTGTTGGTGACAACTTGGTTGTTGACTTAATTGACAAAAATCTTGAGAAACCTGAATGTAAAAATGGATTCTTACTGGATGGATTTCCTCGTACTGTTATACAGGCACAGAAGGTATGGCTAACTTTACTCCCCACACCCACTCCAATCTATTTGTATTCTTATCAACCTTATTTTTAGTTTTCAAATTATCAGTGTGTGTGTATATATGCATTTGGTATGATCTCTGTGATATTTCCCTGTCATATCTCTTTTCATGTTTATAACATTTTCATTATTATTTAGGATTGAATTGATAACCTTATTTTTATTAGACATGAGCATTTTGGTGGGGTAATGTTATTAATCTTTTAAAAATCAACAGGTTTCATTCACCTGTTTAAGATTGGGGGGCATTGTTTTCATCTGCTGATGCAGGGTGTTTTAGATCAATGCGGGAAAGTTCTGACTGTCCAGTATACTGAAGTGCATTTACTGAGGTAAGGGTGTGTTTTTGTGTGATCCTAATAGGTGCAAAGAAGAAATTAATTGCAGTGTTGGCTTGACCAAAAATGAAGGATGTAATTCAGTAGTTTGGTGGTGGTCTTGTAAAACAGACAACATCTGAAGCAGATTGTTTCTGTGTTTTGATTGCTGTTTACTCTTGGGTGGTAGTATTTTGTAAGGAAGACTTTTATTTCCCTAATTTGTCAATCTGGATTCTTGTGAATCATAGGTGGCGGGGTCAGGAGATAACCGGTTTTTGCCACCTCCTAGCTGTCAGTCGCTGTTTCTGTCCAATTATTCTTTGTCTTCCACTAAGTTTGTTTTAGTTAAATAGAATTTTGTATTAGAATGTTCACTTTAATTTACATAAAATGGTATCTTATAACTTTCACCTTGTTTCTGTGGAATTGTCCTTAACATCTTTCAATTATTTTGTTCCCATGTAGATGTTTTTCATATTCTTAATAGAATTATTTATTTGAATATTCATTTTCTCTTATTTTAGAGTTGTCTTAACTGATCAGTATCAGGTAAGTATAATATGAAATAATATATCATAAGGATCTGTTGTTTTTTTGTTTTTTTCAAAACAATTATTTTTCTGTGAACTTCTGATCTGTTTTACAGCTTGATGAGCTTCTAGATAAACGTAAAAAGAAACTTGACGCTGTTATTGAGTTTGGAATTAATGAATCACAACTGGTACGTCGAATAACAGGAAGGCTTTTGCACCCTACTAGTGGACGAACATACCATGAAGAGTTCAATCCACCTAAGAAGCATATGACAGATGATGTAAAGAAATTAATATATATATATATATATAAGAAGTAGCTATAAATGTTTTATAAACTTTCAAGTTTAATATAGGATCGGAAGTTTCATCTTGTGTTGTATAAAAGTAAAAATATATATACTTTTCAGTGTAAAGATAAGCCAAATTATAAATGTTTTTTGAGTGTCATTTGGTTTGTTATTAGTAAATCTTGATTTACTTGACAAATTATCAAACAGAAAATAGAAAGGTCATAGAACTATTGACACTGTAACATATATTAATTATTAAAAAACTTCATTTAATATTGGAACACAATAGGGTAGAACACAAAAGAATAATGCTTCTTCACTGACCATAGTTCTTTGAGGTTCTGGTTGTTTGGCCAAAAATCTACAATCAAAACATTATTTATACCCTACTTGTTGATTTTTGCAGTCTCTTCATCAAGTTGACTTATTAAGAGTAGTAATACACCCATTCAACAAGCTGTGATACACTAGGCTAGTAATAATGTTAATGTTATGCTTAGATCTAAAAATTAATAAATCTTATCATTTTAATTTACTTTAAGAAATTAATGGAAGTGCAGGTTATTTATATTTTTTTGTATTTGTTAGTTTATTTTTAATGTTACAAAGAACATTTTTCTTGATTGCAACAAAAATATATCAGCATTCAGCTTCACTGAAAATCCTGTTTAAAAATTTGTATGGCCTATCAAAAGTAGTAAATCTACATCAAACAGTAATTGTTTTTTCTTGTCATCAGCTGACAGCACAGTTATTTTACACATTAGAGCAGACCACTGGATGAAACACCAAAAATTTCAGTACTAATACTATCTTTACAAAAAAAACAGGTTTAAGTGGCCCATTTTATATGAGATAAAACAAGTTTTGCAGTTACTGTGATAGAAACATTCAAAC